CTTTTCGCCTGCTAACTTTAAACGCGCATATCTCGAAAACTGAAAAGCTAGAAAAAAGTTGTCAACTACGAAAATGAAGCTCTATTTCAGTTTGGTGTAATCTGAAATTTTCAGAAAAATCGAAATATTTTAGATACTCTTTTTAAAGTGTCAAAGTTGGGGCCTTTTTTGGTTCTTGTTTTACAACTTTTGAAGAGAAAAAAAGGAAAAAAGAAAAATTTTGTTAGTGTCGCTGGGAAAAAGACACATCTAAACGAGCAGTGCCCGAGACTAAGCCTAAAGAGCAGTGACCAAGAAAGCGGCTCCTCCAAAAAGGAGCAAAAAAAAGAGCCAAGAATAGAAGGAGCGTCGAGAATGGCAAAGACGACGGACTATGTGTTTTCTCGTTTTTCTTCTAAATAGGCTCCGCCTCTTTCTAGGGGGGCAGAAGGACTTGGCGATTTGCACGTAGCGTGATTTTGTTCACGCTGTGGCTAGAGAATAAGAAAAAGAAGATAAAAATGAGATAAAGTTGTCTGAAGAAGAAGAGGAGTTGCATTGTGTAGAAGGGATAAGAATTCTGAAGATGCACAAGTTTATGCTGACAACTGACGAGGGGGGGGGGGGTCTATGAGTTGTTGTGTGTCAATGTTCGCTTTTCAAAATGCACGAAGCTTGAGGGAAACCAAACATTCAAGAATTTAGAAAATAGAGTCTAGACAACAAAAAAACATAGCTAGCTTTAAAAGCGAAAGTGCATAACTTAAAGCCAGAAAACACCAAACTTTCAGCTCCTAAAAGGTGGCTCAAAATTATTGGATCAGTTTGAAATTCACAGAGCATGTAAAACAAGTCTAGAGCTTTAATTTTCTAGTTGACAACTTTTTTTGTAGCTTTTCTAGTTTTTGAGATATGCGCCTTGAAAGTTGCCATCCCTTCCCCATTCCGCTTTCACCGCCGATGGCGGTCGCCTTACTTTGAAGACACATAACTCAAAAACTACGGTAGCTGTTAAACTTCTAAAAACAATAAATTGTTTATAGTTTGATGTTCTACATTTTCGTAGTTGTCAACTTTTTTATTTTCTTTAGTTTTGGAGATATGTGCTGGAGCCTCCTCCCCCGCCGCAGCAAGGGGGGTAAGGTAACCTTAAAGGTGCATATCCCAAAAACTAGAAACTTTAGATAAATTTCTTAAATTACAAAATTGCTCAGCATAAAATTATAAACAACTTACTGCTTTCAAAATTCTAATAGCTACCGTAGTTTTCGAGATATGCGTCTTCAAATGTTGTTTCCCTTGGCGTCCCTCTCCGCCGCTGCAAGTTTGGGGGTCGCCTAACTTTAAAGGCGCATATACTCAAAACTACAGTAGGTAGAAAAAAGTTGTCAACTACAAAAATGAAGCTCTAGGCTTGTTTTATGTATTCTGAAATTTCTAGGATCTCAAAGTTGACTTTTTGAGATTTTCCATTTTTTTTCCAGCTTGTTTAATGTCCAGCAGGACTTTAAGGTCATAAATTTAGAATCCAAAAGTAACATAATCTCTTCATATTTAAAGTAATTCAGGCATATTGATAAGATTAACATATCAAAGTTCTCTGAATAAAAAACTTTTTTTTATTTACTCAAATATAGAAATTGCATAGGCACTAGAGTGCAAACTACAAATACTAAAATTTGAAATTTCCAAAAATTTCAAAATATAGGTAGTTCCCTACTAAAAAAAATCCAATTACATATTTATAAAAGCCACTTGGCATAATCCTATGAACTAGTTTTTCTGGAACCCCATTTTTCTTGCCACCCAACATAATTTTCGAGATAAAATATTTCTGAAAAAAATTTCTTAAAAGTTCTAACAATATTCCAAAGATTGGTTAGTATACAAAAATCCCTAGTCAAATTGGAGTTGGCCCCGGACAAAAACGAAATGAAGATCCAAATTTTGGTGGTTGTTGCTTTTTTGGTTCTACATTTTAAAGGAGGTGAGCAGACCAAAAAATCTGAAAATTTCAGAAATCAGAGAGTGGACTTAGATCTTCATTTTTGTAGTTGACAACTTTTTTCTAGCTACCGTAGTTTTTGAGATATCCGCCTTTAAAGTTAGTTAACCTACTTGGCGCCCCTACCCTCCCTTTCCGCCGCCGCCTGTGAGGGTCGCCAAACTTTCAAAGCGCATACCTCAAAAACGGGAATAGTTTTCAAAAAGGTGTCAACTACAAAAAAGTACAAATTGAAATTTGACACATTTTTGCAATTTACCACTTTTCGCTAGCTACCGTAGTTTTGGAGATACGCGCCTTTGAACTTTGAGCGCGGCAAATACGAGGAGAGGGGTGAAAGGATGCCTCCTTGGGAGCAGCGCGCTAAATTTAAAGGCGCATATTTCAAAAACCAGAATAGTTAAGAAAAAGTTGTCAACTACAAAAATGAAGCTCGCATTTTTCAGCACTTCAAACAAAGACGCCTATAGAATTCACAAATCAACACAAACCAGTGAAAGCTACGCAGTGTAAGACGAAAAATGGTTTTTTTGGCTTTTTCAAACTAGAAGGGACTTAAATTTTCAGATGAGGACCCAAAAATCGTCCTAGACAAACTTCCCGGCGTCTTTCGCATCTTATCAGCCATCAATCTTCAAAACCAGCTAACCAACAGGACTATCAAAATGGATACTGTAGTTCAGGAGATTCTAAACCTGAAAAGTCTCAAGGATTTAGAGAGTTTTGATAAACAAAAAGTCGATGAATTTGCTGATAAGATATCTAGAGCCGATTTTAGCTCTGATCTAGATATAGTGGCCACTGAAGATGCTTTTATCGGTTTGAGAAAAATCCAGGAATCCTGGATTTCGGTCCATAGCAAAATTCAAAAGTTCCCAAAGACTGTAGATGGTCTAAACGTCGTCAAAACCTGGAATATCTCTGGAATATTCAAGGAAGTGGACATTGATAAGATTTTAAAAGAATTGGAAGGAGGAGAGAAGGCACATTTCAAGACACTTCTAGATGCCAGAGCCAAGATTTCAGAGTTCTCCAGCCTAGAAAATGTTTGGGACCTTCTGAATTCGATCCGCCCAATTTCTAATTTTGCTCGATTCATGGAAGTTTTGAATTCCAGCCCGTTGAATGTTCTAAAGAATTTTAAAACGAGAAAACAAGGTTTTCAAGCTAATTTGGAGATTCTGAACGACTTAGCAACGGAAGATCTAGATTTTAAAGAGCTAGTCCATCTTATGAGCCACCCCAAGTCCCAAGACTTGGAAAACCTATCAGAGGATCTTCATGATCCCTGGATCCTCAAGAATATTCAATCTTATGCTCCACTGGATGGTCTTAACAGGTTAATTAGATTGAATAAGCCAATTCAGGAATTCCAAGGGTCTCTGAATATCCCAAATTATCTTGAAACTACTTTGAAAACAATGAGCTTAAAATCTAAGCCAGTAGAAGAGGAAAAAGTCCAAACATTAGCAGAAAATGTATTCCAAAACTGCTTTCCCTTATCCCATGCCCATGATCCTGGGGAGACTGACAAGGTAAAACAATTGGCAATTAATCTTAATTGGCTAATTATCAAGGTACAGGCTTTAATGGCAGTGGCGGAGGCTAAGAACATTAAGCTCGAAGAAACCCTGACTTCCCTGAAACCCTATCTGGCTGTTTTAAAGGATCAGACCAACTTGGAGAGTGTTATCAAGGAAATAATGGGAAGTGGAAATTATATCACCCAATTTTCAAAAAATTCGGTTCTCCAGGACCATGTGAAGCTTTTTGATTGTATTCAGAAGGTTCCAGAAGCAGAATTTCTGGAAGTTTCCATTAGAAAAATTAAATTCCTTCGGGAACAGTATTCTGAATTCTCGAAAAGCCTGAAAGATATTTCTTCAGAAGTTTCGAGGTCCCTAGAAAGCTTAAAAGCAGTTAAAGATGCTGGAGAAGGAATCAGAAATGAAGGAAACCCGAATTTAACGATTTTCAAGGACCTGGAAATTTACTCTAGCCAAATTAGGAAAATCCAAAGGTTCCTAAACACAATTCGGGTTTCTGGAAATCCAAAAAATGCTTTTCAAAAATTCCAAAAATCAATTAGTGAGCTACAAGAAGCTCTCTACCCCATGAAATCGGATTTGGAGGCTATGAAATTTTCAGAAGTCCTAGAAGAGACATATCAGAAGACGTCTGAAAAGATTCGGAACTTTTTAGATCTCCTGAAAAAATGGAAAACCCAACCCAAAGTTTCTGGAAATTTCAAAAACCTAGGTTTCGAACTGACGAAATTGAAGGAAATTGGAGATTTGGAAATCCCAGGGACCTCTGAAATCGATAGCTTTGAACTTACCAAGCCTGGAAGATTAGTTAAAAAAGAGCTGAGCAATTTGAAGGGAGCAATTCGGATGATGGGAGGCTTGGAGCTCAGATTTTCCAGCTACAATGTTTCGGTTGAAGATGTAGAGAAGATTTTTGGGATTTTGAGGAATGGAAGCAAGAATAGTGAAAATGGAAAGACGGATATTGATCATTCCGGACCAACTGCGTTAGTTTTTAAAAATTGATTTGAAATTTGGGAAAAAAAAATTTTATTTCAAAAAATCATATTTTGAGAGACAAATCGTCCAAATTTAGCAATTTTGACCACAAAATTAATATAAACCGTCAAAAATCACTCAGAAAATGGCTTTTTGGGCAATTTTCGCAAAAAATGTCCAAATGGCTCAGTGGGATTTTCGAAACTTACACTACCAATCTGACGACCCGGGTTCGATTTCACTTAGTGCCAAAATTTTTTGTTTTTTGTGTGGATCATTTTTAGACTATTCTAGAACACTATAGAGCTGGAATTTTGAAATTTTTAAAAAATTTGGGGTTTTCAAAAAAAAAATTCAAAAAAATCTTCTTTTTTTTTGCAAAAAACATGCCTAAACGACTAAAAATGATTAAAAACGCTCTGAAAAACTCAAAAATAAGCTTTCCTAGAATTTCCAGACGCTTTAGAGCGATTTTCGCAAAAAATGTCCAAATGGCTCAGTGGGATTTTCGATGTGTCCACTACCAATCTCAAGACCCGAGTTCGATTCCACTCGTTGGTAAAACCTTTTTGACTTTTGTGTGGACCATTTTTAAACTACTCTAGAGCACTCTAGCGCTGAATTTCTGGAAAATCTGAAAATTTCAAAAAAAATTTCCAGATTCATGATCACCATGATTTGTGTCGGAATCGTTGTCTTCTGTGCTTTTCTCTATTTTTGCCTATTCGACTATCGATTTCCACTCTATACAGTACGCCAGAATTTATGCAATAAAATGTATAAAAATAAACAAAAAAATATGAAAACGGCAAGAGAGGGACAACTACCTATCTCCGGATTTTCGGCTCAAAAAGATGTGAACCGAGGAGCAGATGGGCGGGAAATTCGAGAAAAAAATCAGCCTGGGAGTGCTGAATCTCTGCCACCACCACCACCACCAATTCCAGAAGCTAAACCAGTTTCCAAGGAAACAGGTAAGTGCGCTCCGTTGAAAAAATTATTTTTTTTTGATTTTCAGATCCTCTGAATTCTCCACGAGCTCTCAAAAAAGAGCTACCTCCAATAAAGGAGCTGAAAGTTCAGAAAAGTAGGTTTTTTCCAGATTTTTTTGATTCTGAAGTTTTAGGTTCCTAGATCCCTGGATTCCAAGGGTCCTGGATTCCTGGGTCCCTGGATTCCTAGGTCCCCGGATTCCTGTGTCTCTGGATTCCTGGGTCCTTGGATTCCTAGGTCCCTGGATTCCAAGGTCTCTGGATTCCTGGATTCCTTGATACCTGGATTTTTGGATTCCCGGATTCCTGGATTCTTGGGTCCCCGGATTCCTGGGTCCCTGGATTCCAAGGTCCCTGGATTCCTGGATTCCTGGATACCTGGATTTTTGGATTCCCGGATTCCTGGATTCTTGGGTCCCCGGATTCCTGGGTCCCTGGATTCCAAGGTCCCTGGATTCCTGGATTCCTGGATACCTGGATTTTTGGATTCCCGGATTCCTGGATTCTTGGGTCCTTGGATTCCTGGTTCCATGGGTTCCTGGGTCCCCGGATTCCAAGGGTCCTATTTTTTTCTAGCTGATGAAACACTACCAACACCACCCGCCACTGCCAAAGCTACCATCAAAAAACAGCCGAGTAGAACGAAGACTACTGTAGAACCTTCAAAAACTACAAAAACGATCACAAAAGATGAAAGTGCTGCTGATAAGAAAACTCCGCCTCCTCAAGCCCCGCTCACTAAAATTGCTCCGCCCACAAAACAACCTTCAAAGAAAAAGGATACGCTAGCAGATGATGTGGACAGTACTGAAAAAGTGAAGAAAACCAAATCGGAGAGTGTGAGTAGTGTTTTTTCTTAAAAAACCCTAACTGAAAAACTTGCAATTTGTCTGAAATTTTCAGAGAATACTAAACAAGACTTGAACCTTTATTTTGTAATTGACAACTTTTTTCTAGCTACTGTAGTTTTTGAGTTATGCGCTTTTAAAGTCACCATGCTCCCAGGGAGGAGCGGGGGGTGGCGCTGCGTGGCGCTGCGTGGCGCTCCTTGGGAGCGCGCCGACCTTAAAGGCGCATATCTCAAAAACTACGGTAGCTATAAAAAATTGGTCAACTATAAAAATGAAGCTTTAGACTTGCTTTATATGCTCTGAAATTTTCAAAAAAAAATCTGAAAATCTTAAAACCAATTTTTCGGCTCAAAAAAAGATACCCAAAATTCCAGAAAATCACGTACACCCGCGAATCGAAAAACACCTTGGATGATGTGGACCCGAAAATTTTTAATGGAAAAAGTAGATCAACAAAATTTGGGATGTTCCGAACCTCCAGCATTGCTTCATCGGAAAGAAAAATCGAAGAAAAAGTGAACTAGAAAGTTAGATTTTTGAAAAAAAAAATAATTTTTTTGAGATATATTTTTTCCAGAAAAATTGTATATCTTAATTTGGAGCAATTTTTGATTTAGTTCAAATACTTTAATAAGGATAATTAACTAATTAATTCCTCTCAATCATCTCAAAAATCGCAAAATTCTTGGGCATCTGATTTTCTTGGTAATCTGGAAATTTTTTTATAGTTTCAAACATTTTTAATTACCACTAATTACCTCGATAATTAGTGGGTTGCCGACAAAACGGGCACGAAATTGTGTTATCTTGATGACGTGGAATTTTTCGGACACATTTTTGGCATACTGTATGTCCACATCCGATCAAAATTAATGGGATTACTGTAGGATTACTGTAGTTTAACATACAAATATTGCAAGTGGGGAAGGACTTGAAAAGTACGGTTAACTCACTGATCGATTTCCAAATTTTCCATATTTCCACCTACTGGATTCTCTTCCGGGATTACGGTACATTAAAAATTCAAAAAAGTTAATTACCATAATTATCAGTTTCTTAATTAACTTTCTTCCTCCACAGCGTCATATTCCTCGTCCTGATTGCTCAGCATTATTCCATTAACCAAAATCGCGAAAAATTCTAAAAACGTCCAGAGAAAAATTATCGTATACCAAATAAGTACCGCAATAATTGCCGATAATTGATTTTTTGAATAGTCTAATTGATTGGACATACTGATTATGGTAATTATCAATAACAAGTCGATAATTAGGATGAGTAAGCGGATTGGAAATTCCTTTTTTTGAATTTTGTAATATTTTTTGATAAATAGTTTTTGACAGACAATTGGAATAAAATTGCAAACAAAGCAGATAAAAAAACTGTAATTATATTCAATAAGGTAGATTATTTTTGTACAAGAGTTGCATTTTTGACTTCAAAATTGATGAAAACGGGAGAAAAGTACCCGGAAAACGACTTTTTTGAGCAATTTTACGAAAAGTGTCCTAATGGCTCAGTGGGATTTTCGAAATTTCCACTACCAATCTGACGACCCGGGTTCGATTCCTCTTGGCGCCAAAATATTTTTCTTCTTTTTTAAAGCGTTTTTGAGCGTTCTAGAACATAACATTCACCAAATTCCGTATATGCGTATGTATGTCGCGCGCCTGTTCACCCATTTGAAGTTAACGGATTCAGCTGAAACCTGGACAGATAGATCAGAATTGTGTCTTAGTTGATGCCCAAACTTTTGGTTTTTCGAAATTTTGATTTTGAAGTCTTCTGGAGACGTTTCTTGGTTTGGAAGCCAGGAGGTTTATATCCCATCGTAACCAATCAATAAATCTCTTCGACTTTTTCAAATTTTCGCGGGTCTTTTCTGTTCGTCTAATTGAATAATTACATATTTAATTACTGCCATCAACAAGATAGTTAGGGTAATAAGTGAGAAAATTGTCAAAAATTCGACAAAGAATCTGTCTATATCGCTGATTAACCTGAAAATTGCACAAAAAGTTAAAAATGTATTGATTTCCAAAAATAATGTGATCATTTTTCTTAGACTCACTACTCCCAATTAACCAATTAATTAATTATCGATTTTGTGGAAGAATAAAAAATCGGATAGCTGGAAAAAATTTGGAGGAGAAATGAGATTGAAAACAAGAAAAATATGAATACTTGGGGGACCGGAAGTTTATAGGAAATTAGAAAAAAAAACTAGAATTGTGTTTCTATTTTTCAGAAATTTTTTTTTTTCAATTCTGGAAACATTCATTCTAACATATTGAACAATTAATTAGGGTAATTAGACAACTAATTCCTCTCAATCATCTCCAAAATTGCATAATTCTTGGGAAGCTGATTTTCTTGGTCATCTGAAAGAATAATTTTTCTTGAAAATGTTTAATTATCCCTAATTACCATAGTTAGTGGGTTGCCGACAAAACGGGCACGAAATTGTGTTGTCTTGATGACGTGGAATTTTACGGACACATTTCTGGCATACTGTATGTCCACATCCGATTAAAATAAGTGGGATTACTGTTGGATTACTGTAGTTTAACATACAAATATTGCAAGTGGGAAGGGTCCTGGAAAATTAGGTAATTAGGGTAGTTTTATATAATTAACTCACTCATTAACTTCCAAACTTTCATCTTCTGGAATCCCTTCAGGGGATACCGTACCTTGTTCCTCGTTAATTGGTCTAAAATTTCAATTAGAAGTTAATTACCATAATTATCAATTTCTCAATTACCCTTCTTCCACCTCCACATTTTCATATTCTTCCTCCTGATTGCTCAGCTTTATCCCATTGACCAAGACTCCAAAAAACTCCAAAAATGTCCAAAGAAAAATTACCGTATACCAGATAATTATTATATAAATTATTGTTAATCGATTTTCAGAATATCTTAATTGATTGGACACACTAATTAAGGTGATTATCAATAGCAAATCGATGATTAGGATGAGTAGGCGGATCAGAAACTTCTTTTTTTGAATTTCATAATATTTTTTGATGAATAATTTTTGAAAGATAAGCGGTACGAAATTGCAAACAACGCAGATAATTATCTGTAATTAGTGAAGATAATTGAGTTTTTTTTCTAATTTAAAAAAAAACTGAAATTTCTGAGATGATTCTCGCTCAAAACTTGCGTTTTTGGAATTTTCTTAATTGCCCAATTAAGTACCCACCGCAGCATCTCCTTGATTAAAAACAATCCATAATTGAGGAACGATGCCAGCTACCATAATCCCACCGTAACCAATCAATAAATCTCTTCGGATTTTCCAAATTTTCGCGGGTCTTCTCTGTTCGTCTAAGTGGATAATTATGACTTTAATTATCGCCAGAATCCAGATAATTAGGCAGATGATGAAGAAAATTGCCAAGAATTTGAACGAGAAATTGTCTTTGTCCATCATTAATCCCAAAATTACGCAGAAATTTAAAAATGTGTTGAGATTCAAAAATATGGAAATCACTTCTTTTAAACTCATAATTAATTAATTGGCCAATTAAGAATAATTAAGTTTTTTTTTTGAATTAAAAACTCAAAGAAATATTTTTTGTTTCTTTTTAAAATAATAATATTTTCAAATGATTACTTTAATTGTCCAATTAGCCAAATAATTAAATTCCAATTTTTTTGAAAAGAACAAAAATCGTATAGTTGAAGAAAATTGGGGGAGAAATGAGGTTGAGAACAAGAAAACATGAATTCTTTGGGGGACCGGAAATTTATGGGAAATTAGAAAAAAATTCCTAAACAAAAAAAAGTTTTTTTTTTAGAAAAATTAATAAGATACTTGGGGAATTATTTGAGAATATGTAATCAGAAAACTGAAAAAAAAAAGTTTTTAGAATGAAAAAAAAATTTTTGAAAATTATGAGAAAGAACTTTAATTGTCTTAAACGTGCATTTTTGACATCGAAGATCAAAAAATGGCGAAAAATCACTTTGAAAACGATTATTTGGCCAATTTTACGAATAATGTTCAAATGGCTCAGTGGGATTTTCCAGAATTTCCACTACCAATCTAACGACCCGGGTTCAATTCGACCTGGTGCCGAAATTTTTTTATTTTTGTGTGGACCATTTTTAGGCTATTCTAGAACACCCTAGAGCTGGAATTTTGAAATTTTTGAAAAATCTGAAAATTTCAAAAAAAAATTTTCCAAAAAAATTTTTTTTTAATTTTCCAAAAAACTTGTTTAAATAATAGAAAATACTCAGAAAACACTTAAAAATCGATTTCCCAGCGTTTCCAGTCGCTTTCAGAGCAATTTTCAAAAAATGTCCAAATGGCTCAGTGGGATTTTCCAGAATTTCCACTACCAATCTAACGACCCGGGTTCAATTCGACCTGGTGCCGAAATTTTTTTATTTTTATGTGGACCATTTTTAGACTATTCTAGATTGTTCTAGAGCTTAATTTTTAAAAATTCTCAAAATTTCAGTAAAAAACCTTTTTTGGAATTTGAAAGACTCAAAATTCTTTATTTAAAGAAAAAATATATAACTTATACAAACAAAATTCAAAAACTGAGATTCGTAGCAACACCCATAAAAAGGGATTAAAACTTCAAATTACACAAAAAGTGTTCAAATCACGCCACGCAGTTTGTAGATTACTGTAGTGGAAATTGTGACCAGGTAGCCGAGGAGTACTGTACCAAAGCCTGCGTAATAAACTACATCCGGCATGCAGATTCTAGATTCTGATGACGTGGATTTCTCAGATTTTCTCAAATTCTCAAATCCTCCATGTTTCTCAATCCGGAATCTCCCATTCACATAGATTATGTCCGTTCTAGTGTTATTTCCTGGAAATCCGGATATACAGACCTACAGACAGATTTTCAAAAGTTATTTTTAAAAGTTACCCAGCTGTCGTCGATTTCTCGAATTTCCAGAAGCTTCGAAAATCCCACACTGGTTTTCTGAAGAGCACAAATCCTCTTTGTTTCCATTAATGATTTCCAGATGTTCACTTCTGAAAATTAACTGTAACTCGGTCAATTTAGAGCCAATTTTGAAATTGTGCTCGGATTTGAAATCAACATGTTTAGCGCTTTAAAATGAGTATAAAAACGACTAGACTCCGCCCATTTTGATTTTTGACTGTAAAGGCGCATACGGGTCTCAAAAAAGCGAAATTCGGGGAAGTAGGGCATGATTATACTCATTTTGAAGCTCTTCACCTAGGAAATTCAAGAATTTTAATTTCAAAAGCTTAAATCGATTTTCCCAAAGGTTACTGTAGTTCCTTACCTCTTCACACAAGTCCTAACCGCGCATCGAATATAGACAACATGCTCTTCGGGGAATTTAAAAGCCAAAGAGTTTGCGTATATTTTTGAGAAATCTGAAGAAGACGTTGTATCAGAAATTAGCTCTTCGTCCAGAGAACATCCATTTTCCAGAATCTTCATCCCTTTTCCGATTTCCTCAGTTTCAGCAGAACATCTCTCGATTTGAATCCCGAAAATACCTGGAATACGGTAGCCTGTAAAACCTGCAGAAGCTACAAACTACAGTACCATGCTCCTCTTCCAATTTCCATTCGAAAATGATAGGATCCCCAACTTTTAGGACCCTCATTTCTTGATTTGTTTTGTTCTGGAAAATGGCAAAAACATTTTTTGGGGTTACTGTAACCCTAGAAACTCACTTTTCTCAAAGACTCTTCACCAGCTGATAACACTCTCATCGTAATTTCTGGCAATTCGAAATTGCCAAGAATCATTTCGTGGGTTTGAATAAGGCTGAAAAAAGAGTTTAAGGTTTTTAAAGGCGCATAACTCGAAAATGGAAAAAGCTGGAAGATTTTTGTAAACTGCAAAAATGTATGAAATTTTATGCTGTACAATTTTGTAGTTAGCAACTTATTTCTAGCTTTTTCAGTTTTTGAGCTATGCGTCTTTAAATTTTGGGCACCTTTCTGGAGAAGCCGACTTTTTCCGGTAGGCGCGCCAACTTTAAAGGCGCATACCAGCAAAACTATTGTAGCTATCAAAAAAGCGTTAACTATACAAATGTAGGAAATTTTATTTTCTATAATTTATTATTTACAAAATGTTGATAACTACCGTAGTTCGTCAGATACGCCCCTTTAAAGTCGATCTATCCACAATCTGAGTCCAAATCTTTCAAAAGGGGGGATGTTTACACAAGGAGAGAGAGTCGCCAGGTAAGCTAACTAACTTTTTCTAGGTCATGATCTAATTTTTTTAGGTCATGACCTAATTTTTTCAAGCCCTTTTTTCAAGCCCTAAATTGGGTATCTCAGCTCATTTTAATCCGTTTTTGATCAGATTTGGACCTTTTTAATCCAAATTTTCCACTCACTCTTCCAGCCCAATCTCCGTTTCTTGCTTAAAATCCTCAAATTCACAATGGGCTCTAAATGCACGGTCCGATGGTGTGACTAGTGTCGGATGGAATGCCACAATCACTTGTCCTGATAGCAGCATCAATTTTGAATTTGGCTTTGGCCAAGCACGGAATCCACATTTGATTAGTTGATCTTGATTGATTTTTAGGTCCAAATCAGTTGAATTTTGAGATAGTGTGAACGATTTTGAGCAAGTTGGGTTGTTTCTGGCGCCTTTTATGTAGATCTGGAATTTCAAAAAGTTAGAGATCCCCAGAAAATAGTGAGAGACGCAGAGAAAAGGTGGGAAACCTAGATTAGAAGTAGAAAAGAAAGGAGAAAACTACTTAAGACATTTGAACTACTTTTATATTAAAAGGGCAAACCTATTTCCAAAATAAACAGGATGACCCTTTGAAAGGAAAAGTTTGTCACCCAACTTTATAGGCGCATATCTCAAAAACTACAGTAGCTAGCCAAAAGTTGTTGATTACAAAATTGCTCAGCATAACATTTTACATATTTTTGTAGTTTTCAACTTTTTGCTAATTACCGTAGTTTTTGAGATATGCGTCTTTAAACTTGGCATGCCTTGCGCGCCGCGTCTGAAAGAGGGAGAAGTAGGAGACGCAGAGAAGTCAAACTTTAAAGGCGCATATCTCAAGAACCATTAAAGTTTTTAAATAACCGTCCACTACAAAATTACTCAATATGAAACTTTATACATTCTTGTAGTTTTCTACTTTTGGCTTACTACTGTAGTTTTTGAGATATGTGTCTTTGAAGTGGGCTCCAGAGAAGAGGAGGAGGGGCGGCTTCTCCAAGGGGTGCGCAAACTTTAAAGGCGCATATCTCAAGAACCATCAGAGCTATCAAAAAGCTACAAACTGCAAAATTGCTCAGCATAAAATTTTCTACAATTTGATTACAAAAACATCTACCTGGCCCTCAAAAAAGTCCTCTGTATTCGCGACCAATGAAACACCTTCGGGTCGACATGAGACGAAAGGTTTGCCTGAAAAATTGAAACTAAAAAAGAAGTTTTTTGGTCAATTTCTCTCAGAAAGTCCAATTACACCCTCCACTACACTCACCAACTATTCGATTTTCGAACGTTTTCGCTTCGCTGATGTTTCCGGAACAGAGGAAGAACACCTGTAATTTTCTCGCCCTTCTTGTGTTTTTTTTTTTGGGATTTCCGGGATTTTCCATTTGACCTAGAATCCCTAGAGTCCCGGAAATTTCACTTACCGTTAAATATAGTAAAGAGTTTTGTAGAGAAAAAGAAGAAGAAGATGGGAAAATGAACATTCTGGAAAAAAAATCTAAAAATTGAAAAAAAAAATCGAAAAAAGAGCACTACAATTCGATATTTAGAGAAGAAAAAGGTTCTGAAACAGTTATAAATGATTTAAAATAGTCTGAAAATATGAAAAATTACAAAAAACTACCCTAGAAATCCATTTTTGAGCAATTTTCCAAAAAATGCAAAAATGGCGCAGTGGGATTTTGGAATTTTGCACTACCAACCTAACTACCCGGGTTCGGATCCACCTGGGACTAAATTTTTTTGCTAATTTTTTCGAGCGTTTTTAGACTATTCTGGAGCATTCTAGATGTCGAAAATCGAGATTTTCAAAAAAATCTCATTTTTTGAAAATTTTCGAAAAAATACTTTTTTCAAAATTTGTGGAAAATATGAATTTCAGCGCGAATACACTTGAAAAATGTGGAAAAAATACTCTGCAAAGTCCATTTTTTCAGTATTTTTAAGCTTTTTTCCAAAAAATGCAAAAATGGCGCAGTGGGATTTTCGAGATTTCCACCACCAATCTAACAACCCGGGTTCAAATCCATTTAGTGGCAAAACGTTTTTGCTCCTTTTTAGAGCACTTTAGACTATTTTAGAAGATTCTAGAACTCAAATTATGTGAAAAAAATTCCCAGAAGTTCAATTTTCGCTAATTTTTCAAAAAATGTTTTCTGAATGTTTCAAACACATTTGACACCTTTTTATGTATCCAAAAGTGGGTCAAAATTTGGGAGTAAAAGGATTAGAATTTTAAATCCAGAAAATAAGTAGAATAGGAGGTTTTTATGGGTTATGGTGGTGTCCTTGAACTGTATTTGCATAATAATATAGCTATGGACCACACCTTGTTATGCAACACATTCGTCATTGCTAATCCTATAGATGAAAACTTCTGATAAGATCCAAAAAAGGCCGCCTGTGGCCAGAAAATCTAAAGGAAATGGGCCCAAAATGGCAAAAATGAGTTTAGACGGGGTTTTTCAAGATTCTGGGATTCTGAATTCTCAGAATCCTGAATCTATTTAGAAATCGAAATGAAAAGGAAATCGAGAAAAGGAAGGGGTCATTTTGGGGGTCATTTGGAGGGGAGGAGGAGACAGAAATGTGACAGTTTCGAGGGGGAAGGGGGCAATTTATTTAATAGCTATGTTGGTTTAGGTATCCACTTTTTGAGGAGGTATATCTCAACAACTATGGTAGCTAGCAGGAAAGTGTTAATTGCGGAAATGTGTAAAATTTTACGCTCTACATTTTTGCAATTTACAAAAAATGGATAAGCATCCTTGTTTTTGTGATATGTGCTTTTATAAATGGCGCTTTCTCAAGAGGGCGCCGGAAAGGCCAAATTTAAAGGCGCATATCTCAAAAACTACTGTAATTACAAAAAATTTGTCATCTAAAAAAATGTTTGAAATTTTATGTTCTACATTTTTGCAGTTAACCACTGTTGGATAGTAATCGTAGTTTTCGAGATATGCGCCTTTAAAGTTTGACTTCTCTCCGCCGCCGCCGCTCCCACCACAGGAGCGGAGTGTATGCAAAGTTTAAAGCCGTATATCTCGAAAACTACAATAGTTGTCAACAAATTGTTGACTAACTAAATGTGTAAAATGTTCTACATTTTTTTTTGAGCTATCTTGTTTTTAACTTCGGAGATCTACCACTTTGAAAAACCAGATAATTTTCAAAAAGCGAAAAGAAATTATAAATTTGAAGCGTTACATCTTTGGAACTACAAGAGCTATGAAAAATGTGTAAATTATTAAAAATGTGAAATTTTATATTCTATGTTTTTGTAATTGACATTTTTCTGATAGGCCATTTAGTTTAGAAGATATGCGCCTTTAAAGCCTACCGGGCGCAAGGCGAAGCCCCCCCCCCCCTCCTCTCTCTGGGAGGCTTCAAAGGCGCATATCTCCAAATCCAAAATAGCTATCAAAAACTTGTCAACTAACAAAATGTAGGAAATTTCATTCTCTACACTTTTTAAATTTACACAAAATGAATATCCATCATAGTTTTTGAGATAAGCGTCTTTAAAGTTGGCACGCTCCCAAGAATAAACTCTAGGTATGCGCTTTTTAGTTAACTATTTAGGAATGTGCTAAATATTTATTGAATGGAAAATGATCACAGAAGTTAAGAAGCAGGAATTTAATATCCCATCAACCAGGAGAAGAATCCATTCTTCTTTTCGACAACCTCGACACCAGCCACAGTCGGAGTTTGCTGGAGTTGAATTACACAGAACGTGGGATCGGCGATTGTAGAAGTTAACGTCAAGGATCCATCTGGGATTTTGCTCAACAAACTGTTTAAGGCTCTCTTTGAAGTCGTGCTAGCAATGGTTTGCGTAAAACTTCCGTCACTCGAAGAGAATGAGATTTGCACATTTCCAGATTCCAGACAACCCAAGATCGGAACAGTAGGCGTTTGGTATGTTCCTGGAAGATTATAAACGCAGTTGGAGTTGGCTGGAACTGATGAGTTGGCTGTAGATGTCAAATTGTATCCCGGAGAGTACCAGGTGCCCATGCTATCATTATCAACAGTGAAGTTGGTGCCAGAAGCGGAGCAGGCCACTGAAAAATTATGCGTTTTTTGAAGAAGATTGGTTTTAAGGCGCATATCTCAAAAACCAGGAGAGATAGCAAACATTTGTTAATTTGAAAAATGCAGAACTTTAAATTTTACACATTTTGGTAATTTACAAAATGTTGCTTGCTTGTCTAGTTTTCGAGATATGCGCTTTTAAAGATAGCGCGACCCCACAGAGAGAAGACGACCGCTTTCTTTCTCTGGAGAGCGCATTTACTTTAAAGGCGCATATCTCAAAAACCATGAGAGATAGCAACATTTTGCTAATTAGATATATGTGAACCGTTAAATTTTATACATTTTCGTAATTAACAACATTTTTATAGCTATTCTAGTTTTTGAGATATGCGCCTTTAAAGAGTATGCCCCTTCTTTGGTCATGTCAGCGCCCACCAACCTTGAAGGCTCAAAAAACTACAGTACCTATCAAAATTCGGCGAACTAAAAAAATATGTCGAATTTCATGACCCACCCGACTGGCAGCCTTCCATAGCACCCATATATCCATGTCCATCCAAATCACCAATGCAATTATTACAGTATGGCTGGTTGTTTTGATCCAATTGGCAATTATCCGATCCAGTTGGAGCCACTGGACAGCTGAATGCAGGACATGGATTTGGAGTGGTAGTTGGTGCTGGTGTAGGTGTGGTGGCTGAAAATATCGATTTTTTGATGTTTTTTTTCTTGAAATTAATAAATTAAGAGCAATGAGACTCACTTGGTGGCGCTGGAGTTGTTGCTGAAAAATTTTTTGTTAAAGTTTTGGAATTTTCAAATCATCTTCTTACGCTTTAGGCACTTCTCATACAAGCAAGTATCCTTTCCTCCGTTGAGACTAGAAATAAAGGATTCTACAAAGCTCAAGGTGACTAAAGCATCGTTTTGTTGGGATTGGATTTTCTGGAAATTAAAAAATTGGTCCCTTTAAAGAAGAGCTCTGGGCTGCGATACCTTTAAAGACGAATAACTCAAAAACTACAGTATCTAGAATAAAGTTGTCAACTAGAAAAATGTACAAAATTTACTTTTCTACAAGTTTGTTATTAATAACTTTTTGATAACTATCTCAGTTTTCGAGATATGTGCCTTTAAAGATGACGGCCCCTCCCTTTAGTCATTAGTCCCTTTAGTTACCTGCATATTCGTTTGAATCGTGTTCATATTAGTCTGGATTTGGTCCATTAGGTCTTGAAGATGTTTAATTTTTGCCACAGCAGCATCATTGGCCGCTTTGACTTGAGCATCCTTTCCGTCAGCAGCAGTTTGGAGTCCTACAAATTGTTTCCGATCGGCCTGGACTATCGATTGATCGGTGGCCAATACTGCTTGATTGTTTTGAGGAGCATCAAGTTCATAGGTGCAAGTTGAATCTACGCAAACCGGGGAACCGAATTCTGTAAAAAATCAGTAAAACTGTCTTAACTCTTTCTATTATGCCCCAAACTATTTTATTCTATCGTAACTCGATAAGTTTCAGCCCTATTTTTTTCAAATGTACATTTTTGGGTTTAACGTGTTGAGAGCTTCAAAATGAGTATAATCATGACATACTTTCCTTGAATTTCGTTTTTCTGACCCCTATGCGCCTTTAAATGTCAAAAATGAAAGTGGGCGGAGCCTAGTCGTGCTTATACTCATTTTGAAGATCACAATGCATCAAATTTAAAACTGAAGAGAAAAATTGAGTTTGGCTAAAATTGACCGAGTTATGATAAATTTTGTAAGTGCTTCCCGAAAAGCTAAAAACTGAATATCGACTATAACTCGGTCAAATTGTGTTCAAGACGGATCAAACATGCAAATTTGAACTTGGCGTGCAAACAGCTTTCAAATGAGTATAATCATGACCAACTTTTCTTGAATTTCAATTTTCGGGACCCTTATGCGCCTTTAAAGTCCTAAAAATCTAAATGGGCGGAGCCTAGCCATGTTTATACTCATTTTAAAGCTCACAGCACGCCAAACTCAAGTATTCGATGAAAAATTATATTCGACTCACGAACAAAACTGTAGGTGACACTTGGAAGTGGTGCTTGAGTGGTTGGTCCCGAGGATACTGTAGATCCGCCTACAGTTGTCTGTCCACCGGTTACGGTAGATCCGGGGGCGTTGGTGGAAGCACCGGGGGCAGAGGATACTGTAGATCCGGGGGCGTTGGTGGAAGCACCGGGGGCAGAGGATACTGTAGATCCGGGGGCGTTGGTGGAAGCACCGGGGGCAGAGGATACTGTAGATCCGGGGGCGTTGGTGGAAGCAACGGGGGCAGAGGATACTGTAGATCCAGGCAATACCGTGGATCCGGGGGCTGCTGTAGATGCTGGGGCGTCAGTAGATGCTGGAGCACCTGTAGATGATGCGGCTACTGTAGAACTTGAAGCTTCTGGGGCAACCGAAGTAGAGTTTCCGTTACATATAACTGACGTAGCTAATCTGGAAATTCGAAAAAAAATAAAAATAATTCGCTCAAAACCAGACAGACTCCAAAACTTCAGAATTACACCAAAAAAAGTTGTAACTCTTCCAATCTTGACGCGAATTTTTTAATTTTTTAATATTCCAATTTGCCACGTTTCTAGCTTCAAAATGAGTATAAACATGGCCTACTTTCCTGAGATTCCAATTTTCGCCCCCTATGCGTCTTTAAAGTGAAAAATCAAAATGGGCGGAGCCTATGCGTGTTTATACTCATTTTGAAGCTTTAAACGCGGTGAACTCAAATAACTATTTTTCCAGGAAATGCGATCAAAATTCAAAAAGTTACAGAGGCTCAAAGTGAAGGGAGGGGGTGGTTTTTACCGTCAAAAATCGAAAAACTTACAGTAACCCAACAAAAAGGGCGGCAAACCGGAATTTCATCTTTCGTTTTGCTTTTGATACTTCCGAAGTAGAATCGAATGATACTACTCTTTTCTAAACCCCCGTTTTTCTCTTATCATCGTCATAAAATTGGGCGTTTTGATTGATTTATGTTTGCTCCCTTCCCAGCGTCATTTTTGGAGGGTATTATTGAAATTTGTTTCACTACTACTGATAAGGCTGGGAGCTGCTGCATCTGAAAATTGATTATAGTGTGGAATGTAGGAAAATTGAAAAACCCAAAAAAAAAGCGACCTGGAAAATGCCCCCCCCCCCCTCTGGGAAATTTCGATTATTCTACCGTAACTCGATAATTTTTAGTCTAGCCTTTTCTCAAACTCGCATTTTTGAATTTAGCATGTTCAGAGCTTCAAAATGAATATAATCATGACCTAGTTTCTTAAAATTTGGTTCTTCAACCCCCTGTGCGCCTTTAAACTCCTATAATTCAAAATGGGCGGAGCCTAGTCGTGTTTATATTCATTTTGAAGCTCGAAACGTGCCAAATCTAGATCTAAAAAAACCGGTTAAGGCTAAAATTAGCTGGGTTACGGTAGTTTTACCGCTCTAGGCTTGTCAATTGTGGGTCGTGTATGCACCTTTAAAGTCGGAAAAATCAAAATGGGCGGAGCCTAGCCGTGTTTATACTCATTTTGAAGCTCCAAACTTGAAAAACATAATTCTGTAATGAAAATTTAGTTATGGCTAAAAGCAGTCGAGTTATGACGGTTTTACTGCTTCGGGATGGTCAGGACCACATGCGCCTTTAAACTCCTATAATTCAAAATGGGCGGAGCCTAGTCGTGTTTATATTCATTTTGAAGCTCAAAACGTGAGGAATTCAGATCCGCAAAGGAAAATCAATAGTGGTCGTAATTATCCGAGTTACGGTGGTATTACGGTTCCAGGGTGGCCAGGTGTGGGTCGTGTATGCGTCTTGAAAGCCGCCAAATTCAGAATGGAGGAGCCTAGTCATTGTTTATATTCATTTTGAAGCTCTAAATGTGCAAAGAACCGCAAATAAAAATCAATTTTGGTTAAAATTGTCCGAGTAACGCTCGTTTTACTGTTCCATTGTGGTCGGGTGCAGAAATGGGCAGAAATGTGCAAACTGCCGTAGCTCTGACAAATTTTGTTAAAAATGTATAAAAACTTGATTTTTGAATTAAGCATGTTCAAAGCTTCAAAATGATTACAATCATCATCTACATTAGCCGGGTTACGGTAGTTTTTTCTGCTCTAAGCTGGTCAGGTGTGGTGTCGTGTATGCGCCTTTAAAGTCTTAAAATCAAAGTGGGCGGAGCCTTGTTTTTATACTTATTTTGAAGATCTAAATGTGAAAATTTTAGATCCGCAAAGAAAAATCAGTTAAGCCTAAAATTGGCCGACTTACGGTAGTTTTACGGCCCCAAGCTGGTCAAGGGGGGGGGGGGGGGTCAAAAAGTCAAAAGAGAGGGAGGAGAGAGAGAGCAAAGCACAATGTTTCTCACTTCTTTTAAATCGTCGAAAAAAGTGTAATATTTATTGCAAATGTAGAAATTGGACCCATCTTGACTCAATTAGAGTGTCTAGATTTGCAGGAAAAAATTTGAGGAGCAAACATTTTTTTTCAAAAAATCTGATTTTGATTTTTCAGGACTTCCTTTTTCCGTTTTCCATTGTTCCATCATTCCGGATATCCCAAAAAAAAACACCAAACACAATAAGTTTGGAATCCTTTGCGGCATTTTTTCTATTGCTCATTTTTCGAGTGAGTGTGAGCCTAAGCAAAGAAACAAGAAGTGGGGTAGGGCAGTTGTTCCGATGGATGGATATGTGTGTGTGTGTGTGTCTTTGGTTCCAGTGGCAAAAGCCACTGGACACTACCCTACTATTACTACGGAAAACGAGATTTTTCTCGATTTGTTTCATTTTATGAGGCAATTTCTGGCAGGTAAATTGGTTGAGTTTAACTGGTTTAAAGGTTATATGATTGGAAAATGACTAAAAATGTAGCAGAACTTGCTTAGACAGCTTTTGAACTCAAAAAATGACAAAATTCGAGCGATTTCAAGCCAAATGAGGAAAAGTGTCCAAATGGCTCAGTGGGGTTTGTCCTACCAATCGGACGACCCGGGTTCGATTCCACTCGGTGGCCATTCCTTTTTATTTTTGTGCTGAGCAATATAAAACTATTTTTAGACATTCTGGTGCTTTTGAAACTATCAATCTGACGTCGAATGTTCGATTCCCGCTTGTGGTGCGAACATTTTTTTTTGAGAGAAAATGATTGAAAACACATCGGAACTCTTTTAAACATCCTTAAAACGCAAAAAATAGCAAAAGTGAAACAATTTTGAGCGATTTTGAGCAATTAAAAGAAAACCGTCCAAATGGCTCAGTGGGATTTGTCCTTTCAATCTGACGACCCGGGTTCGATTCCACCTGGTGCCAAAACTTTTTTATTTTTGTGATGAGCAATATAAAACAATTTTTACAAGGATAAATCAGTTTGGACTAGAAGTTTTGGCACTTTTCAAACTACCAACCTGATGTCCTCCAAGTTTTATCAAAAAAAAATTTTTTTTGAGAAAAAACCCAAACCCTCTGTTCTTAACAAAAATGGCTGTAAAACACATAAAAATCTTGTTTAGACATCTTTCAGACCTTGAAAATTACAAAAGTTGAATGATTTTGAGCAATTCCCCGAAAAGTGTCCAAATGGCTCAGTGGGATTTTCCACTACAAATCTAACGACCCGGGTTCGAATCCACTCGGCGCCAATTTTTTTTTCTTTTTGTGCTGAGCAATGTAAGACTCTTCTAGAGCATTATAGACCCCATTTTTCGAAAAATCTGAAACTGTCAGAAATTGATTTTCAACTAAAATAGGGTTTTTTGGACTTTTTCAGTCCCCTAGAGCCTAACTTCCTTCCAGAAGAATCTAGAATTTCCCTGAACTTTAGGTTATCAGCTGTTAGTTACACTTAAGTTCATATTTCAAATGATACGTTTTTTTGAGAAAAAAGAGATTCCAAGAAGAGATTTTTTGAAGGAGACAAGAAGACACCTTCTCAGGTTACCAGGAAAGAAAAAAAGAGGGAAAAAAGTGATTTTTTAGTACAAAATACGTCAGAAGAGCATTTCAGAGCGACCGCAACGCAACCGCAACGCACAGGTGCCTTCCCGGGATACTGTATTTCCCCCTCTCCCTTTTTTCGAAACCTCAAATAGGGGTAAATTTGACGCTCCAGAAACTTCTGTCAAAATTTTCCCATTTGGCTGAAAATACAGAAATAGAA